ATGTGTTTGCTCTGATGAGACTTCCCGCTTCACTGAAGCCTCACACACACAATGCTCACTTTGGAGACTTGACGCGTGACTTTGGGAAGAAGTCTTGCATGAAGTGCTCTTTCAGAGACTTAACGCGTGACTGCTTGTGCAAAGCACTCGTTTAGGAGACTTGACACATCAGTTTTGGAAGGAGGCTTGCACGAAACCTTCGAGAGTGCCCCCCAAGAGTGTCCCACAAGAGTGCAAAAACATCTTTGGCCGCATTCGGGTTCGTGGACTCTGTCTTGGCTTCACTCTACCTTCCATTGGCCTTTCTTCAACCACCCCAACTCCACGCGAATCATATATCCCATAGCTGGAAGGCTTCACTCCCATGCTCCCAGTTGCCTGCGCTGCAGGTCCAGGCTTCGGGTTTCAGTCTCGCTCCCATCGCTCGCTCCCAGCTGGGGAGGCTTGAACCAAGTGCCGTTGCCGCGGAGCTTGAAGAGCTTAAGCTTCGGAGATCGATTCAACCACGCCCTCGAGGCCGGGTGCGCCGCGCCGTGCGCACGCCGTAGCTCGCCGTTTCGCTCGCTTGCTCGCTCACCGGGGTGCACGGGAGGGAGGCCGAAGGCGGTAGCTGGGGAGATCGGAAGCATGGGTTCGGGACATAGACCAGTCCACCCAGCTAGGGGCGATGGGGGGTCTCCCTATTCAAATGCATACGTACCCGTGTGGAGAAGGCGGAACACCAAGATGAGGCAAATGGAAGACTGCTACCAGCACCACTGCACCAAGCTCGTTCGGGTGGTTTAGACTCTTTAGACTCCCCGGAGTGTATCTCAAGCTACATATGCACAGCAAAAAGACCTCCTCCAACAGACATGCCTAAACAAGCTCCGGACGACTGGCACCGTGACTGGCAACGAGAGGAGGCGCAGCTGCCCAGTGGCCTACAGCACCTCAGCCTGGGCTGTGACTTCAATCGGAGCTTGGTGAAGGTGCGTTTCCCTCCGTGACCTGGTGTGAGTTGGAAATGGAAGACAGGGGAATACAGGGGCATACTGGGCTCATCAAGGTACGGGGGCGGGGGAAAGGATGTTTTTCTTTCTTTTTTTTTTCAGGAAAGACACCGGCAATTCTGTAACCCTCCTGTGAACTGATTGCCTTTGGTGTTGAAGTTTTCTTGCAAGCGCATTTCGGGAAGATTGTGGCGCATTTCGCAAATCAGCCACTTGCCCTTCAAGCCAAGTTTGTTACATGACCCCGCACACAACACTTTGGAGAATCCCTTTTAGTCACTCTTCTGAAACCAGCTCTAGAGTTTCCAGCTCTAGAGTTTGTTCAGTGGGACAACCAGTCCTAGGGCATCCTGGCATCGAGCCATGTGCTAGGGGCGACCACTACAACCCTCCGCAAGCTGAATCTCTTGATTTTGACTCCCTTGCTTCAGCTCTTTCCTTGTTTCAGCGGAGGGGACCCCAGGATGCCCCAAAGAAACGGAGCGCACAGTAAAAGGTTCAACTCCAAAACATGGAATATGCGGCAGGGTCTGTCCTATTAGCATTGGGTCTGTCCGACCTGTAACAGCAACCAAGGTCATCATCCCAGACCCGAACCTTCGCCCCTCTTCGTCCCGCCACCTTCGGCTCGCTGGCTCGCTTCGCCTCCGAGCCGAACGACCGCCGACCTGGAGGTTGCAGAGCTTGACGCTGGGTTGGAAGTTCATCCAACGTATGGCTCCTCGGACCGCCAGCATGTCTGCTTCTGGGGTGGGCTGATCTGTGGAGCTGGTTGGGGTGATGACTATTTGAGAAAACTGTCCTAACATATCTTAACTTCATCTTCTTTCTAACTAGTTTAAAGACATTTTAAGATTCTTTGTGCAGTTCCGCGGGTTCGCACCCTGAAGCTGGCATCATATTGAAGAACATCCAGGAATTTGCCGCCCGTTTCCATGGTCACTGTGGCTGTTTGTGTGCGAGTCAGAACTGAGTCAGAACCTCGATGGACGAAGCCGACGAAGCATTGATCCACATGGTGTGGTTTTCAGTGAGTCATCCACCTGCCCGCCGAGGACGGCATCGAGCTGCCGGCGACGCTGCAGAGCTTAAACTGCGAGAGCCAATACTGCGAGGGATGGGAGCGGCTTGACACGTAAGCGAAAGCGAAGAACAGTTGCGACTACTGTGTTGGTTACAACATAGGGCACTACAAAACAGGATGTTGACATTGATCTGCATAATGCCCAGTTCAACGACGTTTTGTTGGTGCCATCGAGGTAAAGGAATGTCCTTTTTGGGTCACCTGAAGATCATTTTTTAAATAGTCTTGGACTGCCAGGGTATAACAAGGACACTACTAGGGGCTCTTGGCATCGCTACTAGGAGCAAGAAGCTAATTTAGATGTACATCCCATACCAAGTGTACATACCAGGGCCACCAGGGCTGCTTGTCCACTGGAAGTCCACCAATAGTGTATACGCTGGTTTACTGGGAGACCCAGGCAGGATAGTCCTGGTAGGCATGTTGTTTTGACTTTACTGTTCTGATTTGGGTTGTGGAGGAGCAACATCTCCTTTAGCCAGTCCTTGTTTTTGGCAACGCTGCCGTTAGCGGCCGTGGGGATTTTGCTACTTTTGTCAATTCTTAAATTCAAATGGGTTTTGGGTTCCTTTGGGGTGGGTTTTCGGGCGTCACAGTGCTTCACTTCAGGTGCCTCTACGGGTGTTTTCGCGGCTGTTTTTTTTTCTTTTATTTAGGGGGGTTCGGGTCACCAGGGTGGTTTGCGGGGTCTCAGTGAGGTTCGGATGGTTTCTCCATTGTCGTCGCGCTTCGTTCGCAGTTCTCGCTTCGTTCGCGTCGCACCTCGTCCGTTCGTCTGCCATTGTGGCGACGACTCAAAGAATTCATACCACAAGAACTGGCCACAAAAGATGTCAAGAGTCGTCTACTGAATCCAGATATGCACAACAGGGTTTTCGCGTGGCAGTGGCGGCACAATGCCCGGATCCACTGTCAGAACCCTTGAAGCAGTCTTGAACTCCCGTTGACCCGCGTGTGCAAAATACCCACAGCCGCTTTTTGGCGGCGTTGCCTTTTTGGTTTTGTCTGCAGATTTGGAAACCGCTTGTGTAGTGAGAGCGCATTATACTGATTGATGTTCACACGAAAGGCAGGAACCCTTGTGTTTCCCCCAAAGCTCTAAAGCCTTGGGGTGTTGCAATGTTCGACGCAGCGTACGTGCAAATGGACATTCCCTTTTGCCAGCGGGGTGAACTCAGCTCTCGCGACCTTCCCGGCAAGGCCGGCCCTGGACTCATCCAGAACTTCCAAGTCCTCCAAACCTTGAAGAGACCTATAGCTATTATGACCTACAGCCTACCCCGGTTACCAGTTCAGGATGTTCCAACCTCGGAACCGTCCGCAAACACCTCACAAAAGCACCCCCAAAGGAAACGGCTCCTGCGGACCACTTCAGGAACTTCCGCCTTCCAGCCAACCTGAAAGTGCTGCGATTTCGATATTTGGATGCTCGGGGGCAAGACTTGCCCGAAGATCTGGGGCTGGTGACGGACTCAAAGACTTCAGGTGTGGACCGAGAGCCCTCGGGTGGACGCATTGGATGCACGTAATTGGCAATAATAAGTAGTATTGTATTACAATGTATAGAAAATATGTGTATTTGGGTTCGGCGCGATTTCCGGGCCCCAATGAAACTTTACATGAACAACACGGAGCCCGTGTAACTGTATATCATCATGTTGTTGTGAAATACAGCTATTACTTTTATACAGCTATTGTTACCTGTCCTCTGCATCGGCTTCTAGCAACTCACATCAATTTCTGTAAATCATATATATATATATGGTTATTTTTTTAAGGGTTGGAATCCAACGAAGAGGACACGTTTTTGATCACGAAGTTAAGCTTGAATAGTTGTCAATATAATTGTTTGATTTGCAGAGAACTTTTGGCAGGATCACCACCTTTGGGAACCTCACAGTTTGGCAGGTACACTACCTCACGACAGACCACTCCATGTCACGTGTTGTACTTAGAAATCCAAAGACGACTGTATTTTGCAACTCCGAAGCGAAGGAAGTTCCTTTTCAGGTCATCTGAAGACCCTTTTTCAAACTAATCCTGCCAGGGAGATCTTTTTGCTTCCATTTTAGTCTGATTCTCACCACCCTCCGCACGTTCCGCCCCCCGGTTCCACCGAAGGACCTAAACGGAGCAAAACCGCCCTGATCCGGGGAGGTTCGGGGGCCAGGTGGCGGCCCCATGGTAGTGGTATACTAGTCTGTATGGTCCTCTGTAGCTGGTAGTTGTGGGTTCGGTAGAATTCGATCATTTGCTGCAGTGAAATTGCCATCAGGAAGTGCTCGCGGATTGGGGTTCCCAAATTCAGTGTAACAAGAAACTACTAGTAACAAGGGCCTCGCTACTAGTTACAAAGGCATTACTACTAGGAGCAAGAAGCTACTAGGTTGGAGGCCATCGCTACTAGTTACAAAGGCATTACTACTAGCAGCGATGCCCACAGCTTGCTAGTAGCTTCTTCTTGCTCCACGGTTCCTCCACCAACACGTGACATCCCACGCTTCCCACGTGACATCCCAAAGACAAGCACCGCGACCAAGGACTTTAAGCAGATCGTGCACAGGGTGAATCTGCCCTCACGGTTGCAAGAGCTACAATGCCAGGACTTCGGTGAGTTGGAGGTGTCGCACACATGGCTAGGTGGGGAAGATCTAGGGTGCCCTGAAGGCCCTGAATTCAACCCCCTCCAACCTACTAGCAAAAGAAGCCTGGAAGAGATGGAACCTACTAGTGATGGCCTCCAACCTATATACTAGCAAAAGGAACCTAGTAGCGAAGGCCTCCAACCTAGAAGAGATCGCCTCCAACCTACTAGCGATGGTCTCCAACCTAGCAAAAGGAACCTAGTAGCGATGGCCTCCAACCTACTGGCGATGGCCTCCAACCTACTAGCGATGGTCTCCAACCTAGCAAAAGGTACCTAG